TTTGGCAGGCGAGTGAGAAAATGTAAATGCTCAAATGTTGTCTTTGCATCTGAATACGAGCATTTGCTACGGATTCGTTTGTGTTTACAGTGAGTGATGGCAGCTCAAAGAAATGTCAACACTCAAAGCCTACAAACACACACGCACACTCGCAAAGCCTAAGAATTTCACTTTGACTTAACAAATAGAAAATCATTTATTCTGCATGCGCAGCTCCGTCCCTGACAGCAGCCTCGGCGGAAAATTGTTTCCCCGCTAACGCGTTTCGATTTCGACAGACTCTCTGAATAGGGTCTCTGAGATTTCCGACTGTCCCCGCATCCTCAGCCATCAAACTGTGAGATTTATGCGCATTTTGCATATTTTCTTTGTGTGGCTTTCAAAGCCAGCGAAAATGGCCCATCAAGTCAAGTCGAGACGAGCTCCGGGGAGACTGTGAAAAACTCGCTCAATTTTCATTGCGCAACTTTTATGACTTTGTCTGCTGCTGTCTTTGGCCTTTATCGAATGCAAATTGTTTTATAATAATGTAATCAAATCATTGTGAACTCTGTTTATTGATGTGTTTATTGTGTTTTGCTTTCGATAATTGCCGCAAACAACATTCATGCCTAACCATTTTTAATGTGTTCACCTTTATTGAATTTTGATACCCTGAACCCACCAAAAATGGGTTTAAGGGTATATTGTATTTGTGCAAAATCCAAATGTATGTAACAGGCAGAAAGAAGCATCTCCGACCCCATAAAGTATATATAGTCTTGATCAGCACCAATAGCCAAGTCGATCTAGACATGTCCGTCCGTCTGTCCGTATGGATGAATGCAAGGATCTCAGAACCTATAAGAGCTAGACACTTGAAATTTTATATGTAGGTGCTCCTAGTTCTCGCGCAGATCGAGTTTGTTTCCGATAATCGAAAACTTCCTCCGTTTCCAAGCAATCGATAAAAATCTATATCGATATCCTGTTTTTTGGGTAATTTTGGTAAATAATAGGAGCTGGAGTCACCAAACTTGCCATATAGCTTCTAAAATATAATATATATATGCATTTTCGGGAGCTCCCGACTAGAACCTCTTACTTGTTTGTATATAGTTATAGTTAAACAAGTGCCAATCAGAACTCAAGAGTGTCTTATATTGCGCTTAGAATCAAGTTAGGTGTCGCCAGGTTTGTACAATAAACATTATTAAGAATAAGTAAAAATATATGGAATCTGTTTTAAGGAGTTTTATTTTGTATCAAATTTAATATAGAAAAAGATATATAATTAAACATTTTCTTAAACTTAACATAAACTTAAGATGGCATACTTAAATAGCTGACATAGTTTCGAAGATTCAAGAATTATTGGATGTTGATTTCTCGGATATCATGGAACTCTTTGAAGGCATTCAAGTGGGTCTTATTGAGAGTTTCTCGATAAAAACGAGACGGCATTAAGTCAAAGAAATGTGGACTTTGCCGAGTTTCAATCGAGTAAATTGTAAGTAATAAAAGTTAAAAGACAAGAGACTTCAGGTTTCATAGTTTGTTTTAGGGCCAATTTACTGGAATAATAAAATCGTACAATTTCTAATTCTCAGAATTGTAAGTAGCATGCATTGAAACCAATAACATTAGGGAGCACAATAACAGGGACAATCATAACAAGAACAGCTTCCTCAGTCGTGACGACAATAACAATATTGCCATTTTCACTTAATTGACCATAATCCACAGCACAGCAACCCTCGTCCTCGTCTCTCCCTGCCTTCCACAGAAAAAAACAGATTTGTGCCAAGTGCGATGGCAACTTCAACACTTGATTCAAGGGATCCTACATTAAAAATGCCCATGGCGACAATTTTACGTTGTTATTGCTGTATTTGTCGATGGGAGGAGTCGAATGTTATTGCCACTGTTGGCATTTTATAGTCTTACTATTTAAATTTAAGTGCCAGCACGAGATGTTGGCCGATAAATTAAATCAAATGCAACAATTTGGTCACCAACTTTCAACCGGTCAGCTACCGCTTAACTGTGGAACTGGGTAAATATTAATTGCGTTTTCCTGTGTTGAACTTGAATCAGAATATAAGTTTCAAATTGAAAATGTGTGTGTGTGCGAAACAAATACCTTAAATCCTACCGGCTTTGGTATGCTAATGAAGTACTTGCCAATGTGGCCAATTGTCAGCGGCCGGACAAACATGAGGCAGAGCTAGCTAGTTGCCAGTTTTGTTGCATATTTATGGACCGGGCGCAATGTCAACAGCAGCCAGCAGCCAACAGCTAGCAGGCAGCAGGCAACAGCGAAAAGGACGCACACGAACAACCAAATCCACTTCATGACCGCAAATTAGTTTTTAACCCACAAAATAATCCCGAATGACATGAGATGACTCCACCGCTCACCACCCAAACAAAAAAAGCAAGCGGAATACTATAGCGTACATTTCACAGTTACCAGCTAGTGCTGCCCCTGCTCCTCCCTCTCCACCATAACCTCCTCAACATCCGTGTTCTTGTCCATGTCTACTAGCCGCAGTCGCTTGGCGGAAGTTGTAAAGCTGCCATTTCTTGGCCATGTTTTTGTTGCTGTTGCTGCTGTTGTTGTCGTTGTTGCTGATGTTGCTGTTGCCATTGCCAGCGGTTGGCAGCCCCAACTCTGTGCCGGACTCTTTTAGCTTGCGGGCAGTGTGAAGCGCCAACAATTCGCGAGCTCGTAATGCGGTCGTTTTACAGCATTGTTGTATTACGTTGTTGTTGCTGCTGCTGCTGCTGTTGTTATTGGCCCCGTTGAGTGTTATTGTTGTTGTCGTTGCTGTTGTTGTTGTTGTTGTTGTTGTTGTTGTTGAGAAGCGCATTTGTTGTATTAACTTTTTCCAAGTGACGTGAATGGCACTGGCCAGTGCACGGTAAGGCACAAGGCTGTAACACAAGCCCACTGCGCCCGCCCACCTCGCCCCCAATGGTGGCCATGTGGCCATAATTTATTAAAGCCTGCACCAGAGTGCTCTCCAGTCGAGCGGCCGCCCATGGCACACAATTGAAATTTAAGCAGCAGCAGGAGCTAAGTTGCAGAAAATGTGAAACATTGGCGCTGCCTTTCAGCTCCTCCAGTTCGATCGAGTAACGGTAGCAGGCAAAATGGTAATCGAAATATGCGCCTTGCGCGCGGCCAAGGCACCAAGGCAAAGAAGCGCAGCAAAGCGGCCACAGACCCAGGTCGAACCACAGCCGGCACTGAATGTCTTGCGTTTGCCATCATTTTCTTTTGTTTCGCTTGGCTCTCCCCTCTCTCCCTCTCTCCCTCTCTCTCTCTTTCTCTCTATCGATCTCTCTCTCTCTCTCGCGGTCTTTTTTGCAGTGAAAAGTTTGGAAAAGTTTTTGGCTGGGAAAATAATTCATGAAACATGGCGGCAACATGCGAACGCGAAACGCGAATGTGAAACGCGAAAAACGAAATACGAACTCGAAATTTTTGTGCCCAATCCGAATCTGATTGTGACAGAAACGAATTGTTCTGGTTGCTGGTTGCTGGTCGCTGGTCCTCAGGTCGCTGCTTTGGAAGCGGAGTGGAGGCGAGGGCCTTGTATATTTATGTGCCTATTTCTTCTTTTTTTTCTCTATGTAGCCGGCAGCGAGTGTCTCGTCGCCGCCCCCACAGACGGCCCCGCGCAGTTGGCATGCAAATTTATGGTGTGTCCCGAAACAATTGTTATTGTGTGTTTTCAACTTTTGCTTGATTTGTGTTTTTAAGTGATTTCGAATGGGTCGCATGGGGCACGGTAATCGGGCCGTCGGCGACTATTTGTGTGTTTGCTGGTCAGCTGGCGTTGATAATTTCTAGGCTGTCAACGGGCCAGGCTGGGTCCGGGCAAGCCAGATGCACGGCTATGCAGAACTACTTACTAAGCGACCAATAACCATAAAACACTTTGCATACCACAGCGAGGCAAGAGGCCACCCGCACACGTGGCAACTGGTTAACATTGCCCCCGACCTGCAAGTTGCAAGTTGCAAGCTGCCAGTTGCAAGTTGCCAGTTGCTAGTTGCAGCAATTTTCGTTCGGCATTTTATTTATTTGTATTTCCGCAAACAATTCGAGTGCCGCGACTGCCACAAAACTTTTGACTGTGCGGCATTTGCCACTGTTGCTGCTACTGCAAGTGCAACTGCCACTGCTACAGTTAGCAGCCATTGTTGTTACAGTTACCGCTGGCAGTAGGCCACTTCCTGCAAATGGGGTAACTTCTGTTGCCGTTGCATGCAATTCCTGAATTTTTGAAGGCGTTTCTCTTACTTGCCTCCTTCCTCCTCCAACGCCAACCACTATTTCTGTTGCCCAAACTGCCGGAGCTGCTTGCAATATGCAAACGGTCATTTCGTTAATGAGCGCCCGGCAGCAGCAAGGGTAGCAGGGGCAGCAGAAGAAGCTACAACTTTTACTGAGCATCCGCCGGATGGGAACTGGCGAGTAAAGAGCTGCTGGTCACTGGTCGCACATCCTATGGAGATGGACAGCAGCCGAGCGACCGAAGCACCAACTGTGCCCCACACTGACTTTTTATCCAACTGTCTGACTCTCTGCCGGGCTGCCAGTCTGCCAGGCTGCAAGCCTGCCTGTTTGGCTGAATGACTTGGTTTATTTCTACGTAATGAAATGAAATTGAAATGAATGTTTTATAAACCGTCGCCGGCTAGAGAGAAAGAGACTCTATATTATTCCCGCTCTTACAAGCAGGCAAGAGCCATAAAATTATTATAATCCCAGTGGTGGTAGCAGCAACCGCATGTTGCCACTCACTTGCAACACTAACATAGATTACGGCAGATGCAACAAATATCAACTTTAAAGCCAACCAAATTAAATAAATATTTACGGGTGCTGCCAATTTAATAAGCCCGATGCATTAGCTGATACAGCTAAAAATCAATACACAAACAATTTGTATTTGAAGCTGAAAGAGGTATATATATATGTATGTATATGTAAAAATTGATTGTTTCGGTGTTGGTTTAGGCTATCTAATATTTGAATTTAACTCTCACAGGAACTAAACACAACGGGTTCATTTGCGTGTTGACAATGGCTGCAGGCTTGAGTTTTTTGAGTGTTATAATGTAGCCAGGTCCTTCAGATAATTACACAACACTGACACTTTCACAAACTTTCCACAAAGCAATATTTTACAGTACTACTCAGAAACACAGTCGCAAATCGGACAAGTTGCACATTAATTTTAGGTAGTCTGAACGGGCATTTGGTAGTCAAAGGCAGGGTCTGACAATAAGGGGGGACGCCCCTTATGTGGGAGGGGGTATGCTGTCGTTGTTTGTCTGCACTGGATTTTAATTAAATTTCGCTTAATGTTGTTGGCGCATTTACTTGGGCTGCCGCCGTCGTTATGTGGCATGTGCCCATTAAACATGTTGCGGATTGTCGTCGCGGTTCTCGTAAGCCCAGAATTTATGAAATTCAATTAATATGGACACCACAGTCTCAGCCTGGCCGCTGCACAGAAAAGGCATGCGTTGAACGTAACCGGTTATACAAATAAAAGCAAGATAATACACAGCCTACCAATTGTGCAGATCCTGCAGTGTTATCTTGCATGGATCCTTGGGCTTCACCATGTCGAATATCTCATTGTTGAAGTCCTCAAACCTGATTGGCTCAGCATTTAGCACCACCAACTGCTCCTCTATACCCTTGAAGAAGTAGTGCAGTGTCTGCATCGTCAGGTAGCCAGTGTGCTGCACGTCCAGCATTCGGAAGAGATAGTGCATTGCCGAAGAAGTCTGTGTCGGCAGAGAACGTGGTATCTATTAGCGAGAAACTTTTCCATGTTGAGGCACAACTCGGTGAATCAGTGTAATAAGCTTCTAAGATTAGGAAAATCAAATTGAAAGCAAATGCAAATTTTCCTAGACCGCTCTGCTTCGAGCTTCGAGGGAAGCTAAACATACGTTTAAAAGCACTTAGTGTGCTTAAACTCACACCTGTCGATTCTCCAGTGCCAAAACGAAGTCCAAAAATGTTTTGTAGTCCATTTCACCATCGTAAGTGTGGCACTCCTCAAATACGCGATCCAGAAATATTGAAGTGAGCGTGCCCGAGCCATATCCAGCCAATTCCTGTTTGCTTAGTAAGCCATTATGATCCAAGTCCAGGTTCAGATAGCTGCCATAGACCGCCAGCACGGCGGGCATGGAAAAACAGTTAGACTGTGAAGGCTGAGACGATGCCGTTGGGCTTGGCTCGTCGCGCAGTTCCATTAGCTCGTTGATCAGACCCGAAGCGAGCATATCGGTAATGCGTATACGACCCGTGCGCAAATGATCGAGAAAAAAGTAAAACCTCCTAACCACGGTGCACACGTAGAACTTCTCAAAGGCGGGCTGCATTTTGTCACGTATCTGCTTCAGCGTTGGAATTATATCCAGAATGTAGTTCTCCATGTCGAACTCACGTAAATAGCCCTGTCCGACCTCATCGTAAAAGGAGAGTCCGATGCGACACTGAGTTAGAAACACCTTGCGCATGGTAAAATTAAAAATGGAGATAATCTCCACGCTGCCGAGGTAAGGCGAATCACTGAGCAAATGGGCAAAGAGCCGAGCCGTGAGATACCTGCGGCACTTCTTGCCAATCGCAGACTGCAACTTGCAGTAGTCATCGTAGTTGATCAGCTGCTGCTTCTTGGCGGTCGTCTCGGTGACATGCTGCTCCAGCTTGCTCCACAACTCGTTCAGCTCGTCGTTGTCCAGCAGCTCCTCGGATTGCTGCTGCAGGAACAGCGAGTGCGCCTCCCTGCGCAACAGATATCGCAACTTATCATCCGGCGGCGGTGGCACATAAAAGAATTGGGGCACATGTTTATATGATGGATGCTTAACCTGGCTACGTGGCCCAAGCGGCGCATTCTCATCGAAATTGGCCAGCTCCTCGGCGCTTATCTCACGTGTGGAGACCTGAAGACATGCGAACTCCTTCACAAGCTCCGGATCCAATTCCATTATAGCGTTTGTGTCCCTTGTAGAATTATTGTTAAGCTAATTTGGTTTTACAGATTGACATTTGAAACATGTATACAAATGAATAAATGAATTTAGTAACACGTCAATGGTATTTTGTCAGCACATAAAAACTTAATAAATATTCACAAATAAATCTATAGTATCTGCTAAATTTTTTAATCATACTTAATTTCATTTTTAGGTTCGACCATTAAAGGCGCCATCGCGATTTTGAATTGCATTTTGGCGCGTCAATTATGCTTTGAGGATCCCTCATGCTCGGCCATTTTGGAAATTATTCCCCGCGTCTGCGGACCCATACCAGGTAAGCTCGAGATCTTGGCAAATTAATGGCTAAATCCCTGTTTATTTATTTTTTTCGTTAGCCAACTTTTTAGCAATAGTTGTATTGGTCTGCAGGCCAAATACGTGCGCATAAATTGTGGTTTTTCAGGTGGAGCGTTTTGGATGGGCAGCCCTCGAGCATTTTTGCTTCGTTGCGGGTATGGGGCCATTTGAGGATTAATTTTATTTGGTTGCTTTTCGTGGTTGTTGCCTGCCTCCAGCGCCCGCCCCTCTCAGACCGTCTGCTGTGCCGACAACTGTGTAATTATTTTAGCAATTTTTGTGTGCGCCCGCGTGCAATAAAACAGTAAATAACGGTCATATGCTTAAAGCGCAACATAACAGCAACAGCGACAGCAGAAAAAGCGAGTGCCACGAATTACCATTTGAATATTCAAATGCCCCTGAGAACTGACCCACTCGCCAGTCGCCCAGCCAACTGCTATTGTGGTTGCTGCTCAGCGGGTGAATGTGCGTGCCAGTCGCACCACTATGAATACACTTGTACACACACATACACACACATTTAGGTAGACCAAAGTGGGAGGTGCAAAAAGCAAACAAACGGCCAGCAGATGCCCAGCGCCAGCTTGCCCCAAACTCCCGGAATGCCTGCTTCATTGTTGTCGCGCACAAAGGCGAATGAACGAGCGAGCCGAAGAAAAAGTTAATTTATAAATTATTCAGTAATTTGTTTGAGAATTTGCTTTCGTCGCCATCCCCTGCACCACTACACACATATACACACATACAAGAACAAAGCTCAGAGCTGCAGGTATACATTTCTTATGTATGTGGGCTTCGCTTTGATCCGCCTCCACAGCCCCCACTCCGAAGCCAAACGCCAAGCCATTTAAAAGTGTATTTAAGTTCAGTTTGCCGTGCACTACTCCAACGCGAACATCATGAGGCCAGACCTGTCCAAAGGTCACATGACTTTTGGGGTTAGGGGGCGTGTTTTGGGGCTTGAGGGGCGGAGTTTTTAGCTGGCTTGTGAGCCCGTGCATTAGACTTTTCTTTTCTTTAATTTAATTATTAATGTCCCAGTCAGCCAATGTCTAGTGGTGTTTCGCCAGCTTTTTCTACTCATCTATCTTTTATTTAAGTGGCTTTCTATTCGGTTGTATGTGTGTGTCCGTGTTTGTGTGTGGGAATTTCTTTGTGCTGTCATGTGTACAAAATTCGCATTTAAAACGTCGCATTAACGGATTTACTGGAACTTTTTAGTTTGTTTCAAGTTTGCCTCAATTCCTTCTCAACTTTGCACTTACAGCTGAATCTGCGGCAGAGCATCAGATTAGTTGTGCCTAGTTCTGCGGCTTGGACCATTCTACGCTCAGGATCAGATGATCGTAACCATGACCGTTGAGTATTTCGATTGCCTCGGCTGCGTCCTTACGATATTTGAAGTGGACATAGGCGAATCCTTTGCACAAGCCAGAGTTCTTTTCACGCGCCAGATACATCTTGGTGTATGGGCCAATCTTTTTGACCAACTCCTCGAGATCATCCTCTGTCATCGACTCGGATAAATTGGAAATGCGGACGGCAGATGAATCGTCGCGTTCGCGCCCTTTGGCACCGTCCTTCAGGAATGGTGGAACATACTTGCCCGTCTTGTTGGTTTCGCCCACAGCAGCAGTGGCCGCCGCAATTGCCTTGCTTTCCATGTCCATGGAGGTACCCTTGTAGGGACATTTGACTGACCAATGCTCTCCATTGCATATGCGGCACTTGGCCATAGGCTTGCCGGCATCCAGTGGGTCTTGTGCGTGCTCAAAGTCCTTGGAGCCCATGTAGTTCATAAGTATCTCATCGGCAACCTTTGTGGTATACGAATTGGGCCCCGGCTTGTCCAGTTTCGAGTCTCCAAACTTAACCCAATTGCGGCGCTTGGCGACTGCCCTCGAGACGATCTTCTTTTCGATCTTGAAGCTGCGCACCACTTTGATCTTCTTGCCCTCATCGTTGAATTTGTACTCGGTAACGTGCTTGTAGTCTCCATCCACATACTCCTTGGATGGCGGAAGTCCGTCCACATAGTCTGCTTCCACCTCATCGGCCCATGATGTGATTGCGGCTTTCATGTTGTTATTCCTGCTGTAGCAAAAAATTCATAATGAGTTAACTTTTAGAGTTTTACATATTACTTACCTTCAAATTTGTAAAAGTATCTGAAATTATCTCAAATAAATCTAAGTTCTGAACTGCTTCAGCACAGTGGAATGAGTGAAACTTGAAAACGTAGCTTGGGGTCATAGCATATATTTCTACTGCTACTTCGACGGGGAGTTTAGATAGAGATTTGCTATTCTATTTGTAGAAACAAGTAAGAATCTTCCAGTCAGTGAAAATGACTAGGCAATACTCTGTTCATAGTAAGTAAGTTCATAGTAAGAGTGGGCTTAGCGAGAATATTTTTAGCTTGATCTTTAGTAACCCTTGTACATTGTTGTAAGATTTGATATGTAACCACTTTAAACTATGGCTTTCTTTCCACAACAAAATACTTAGTACTGCCTTTTTTTAAGTGTAGGCCGCTCGCAACATTTCTCATTGATAAGAACATACGATTCGGTGGGCAAGCACTTATCTGTTGCGCTGTCAGTTGATCAACACACTTCGCTACGGATCAGTCGAGTGTCTCTGAGCACAAGTGTTTGGATGTTGCAGTTAACGCATTCCAAGACAGGCAAAAGCCTGGAGGTTGATGAGTTCTGGCTACGGGATCACTGTCGTTGCGGGGAGTGTCTCAACACAGAGACGAATCAGCGACGTTATGATCTTGTGGATCTGCCTGTTGATGTGCACGTGATGAAGCACAACTGGCAGACGCCGGAGCAGCTCGTGGTGGAATGTAAGTATTTGTGGAGCCAGTCAGATGCCCTGCTTATGCTTGTCTACACCCCAATAAGGGAGCGATGGGCATTGTTCGACTTACGACTGGGCATTCATCTATGACTCGCAGCTGGAACAGCTGATAAGCCGGCGTACAAAGTCAACGGCGCTGACGCCCTGGAACCGCAGCGTCGTGCTACAGAACGAGCGGCATCTGCGCTTCACGCTGCCCGCGCTGGTGGCCAGCGATGAGCAGGTCAAGCAGCTGATAGCCGCTCTGGTGCGCTATGGCATTGTCTTTATAGATGACGTGGCGGCCACGCCCACAATGACTGAGCTCGCGCTTCGCCGTTGCTTTCCACTGATGAAGACCTTCTTTGGCGAGATGTGGACCTTCAGTGATAAGCGGGACCATGCGGATACGGCATACACACAACTATATTTGGGCTCACACACGGACAACACATACTTCTGCGATGCGGCTGGGCTGCAGGCCCTGCACTGCATCGAGCATTCCGCTGACGGCACAGGTGGCGAGAACTTTTTTGTCGATGGGCTGCACGTGGTGCACGAGCTGTGTCGCCGCTTTCCCGATGCCTACGAGCTTCTGTGTCGCGTGCCAGTGCCAGCTGAGTACATCGAGCAGGACGAACACCATTGCCACACAGCGCCCATCATACGCATTGATCCGCTTACCGGCGCGCTGCTCCAGCTACGCCTTAATGTATACGATCGTGCTGTTTTCAACACGCTGCCCCAAAGTGAGATGGCCAACTTCTATGCCAGTCTTCGCCAGCTACTGCAGCTGGTGCGCGACGAGGAGCAACAGTGGCAGCTCAAGCTGGTGCCTGGCAGCATTGTAATCTTTGACAATTGGCGCGTGCTTCATGGCCGCCACGCCTACACGGGTCGTCGCACAATGAGCGGCGCCTATGTGCAGCGCACCGACTTCCAGAGCAAGGCGCGCACACTTGGCATCATCGAGTAGCTGCATTCGTGATCCCAAATGTCAAATGCCAATAGCCAATTGCAATTCGGTCGTGAATACATGATAATAAAAAATTACGATTGCAATCGCTGTACAATGTCTAATTCTTAGTCGAAACAAGAAGCAAACAAATTTCATTTGGCATTTGTTTTTATTGCAAATGTCTCATACGAGCTTTTGCTCTCTAGACACGTGTGTGTGTGTTTGTGTGTATGTGCTTGGAGCCAACAAAATGGCGTTTGGCGCCAGCAAAACAAACGTAATACGCACTTTCAACTTTTTCATTTAAAAACTGAAATTACTTTTTTGGTTGTTGCTGGGCAGGATTTTGCTTGGAAGGTGGGGTAGGGGAAGTTTAATGGCTGTCGTATTGTCCTTTAAATGTCCTCAAAATATGTACATATATTGCACACGTGAAAGCAGCCCGAAAACACTTTAAGCCAACACGCTCCGAGCCGGCCTGAATATTTATGATAATTGCATTTTATGCAGCGTTTCTGTTGCTTTTTCTCTTACCGCCTTTATGCGGCGACATGACCGCATTGAAGCCTTTAAAAGCAGGCGCTCAGTCTCGATGTCTCCCCCCTGTCGCTGGCTCATTTCTCTATCTCTCTGCCGGCAATAAATATTTTGACAAGCAACGGCGCGTTGCCGTGCGGGTCCTGCTTCCAGCTGCTGCAGTCGTTGCATACTTTTTGACGTTCTTCTCATGTGGCACGGCTCGAGCTGCAGCTGCTTGCGCGTGTGTATGTGTGTGTGTGTGCCTCTTTGTGTGTGTGCGTTTGTGTGGGTTGTGTTCGCATTTTTGCGTTCACTTTGTGCAGTCGCCGATAGTTCAATGAAATCAGCAAGCAGCCAACTGCAAACAAGGCAAACAACCACCCACACCCACACACACGATATACACTCGCTTTTACTCAAGGCACGCCTGTTTAATATGACAAAAGGACATGGATTGTATGGCGTCTCATATGCCGCTCAAACAATATTGTAAAAAATGTTACATACAAAGGCGGCGCCAACGCAAAGACAAAAGTTTACTTAATTTAATTAATTGCATGCATACAAAGTGGAGCTCTCATTGGGGGCCGCATAACGTGATCAGATTTTCGTTTGATGGCAAACTAAATAAATGCCACATAAATTTCATCTAGTGCACAAATTTATGGCAATAACATCCAGCAATAAAATGCCGAAAAAAGTATATTTTGTGTGTATAGCGAAGGCAAACAAACAACAAGCTAAAATCAAATAAAATCGAGCCAAAAGGTCGACACACACCCACACACACATATTCGCCTTTTCGCCATATTGGCAACAACAAAGAAATCATTGAACCAATTCAGCGACCAACTCAACAACCGGAAACGCGTTTCGTATAAAAACGAATTGAGGACTTAGCGTTAACGGTAAAAGGGCGAAAAAAATAATGCGAGGTTAACAGTTACTGCAAATGGCGTCAGTTGATGATGGCGTCGAGGCATAAAAACCACTTTCCTGCTTTTATAGCGACTCACACACATGCACGGAATCAAAGGTGGTCACAAAAACAAGAGCTTAAAAACTGCAGTTCGTTTAGTCAAGTCGGAAAATATACCCCTCTTACTTGCTGTGCAAGCTGCGAATGGCTTCTAATTGAGGCTGTAGCACACACTGCAGTGTGTTGGCCAACAACAACAATTGCGGTAGTTCAAGTGTTGGCCATGTCATAAATATGATGAATGCCTGCGAAAAATGTCACTTGTTGCGTAGTTCGTAGAGAGCACCGCTCCCCTTACAAATTGCCAGTGGGCATGGGGCCAGGCAGGCAACTTTATGTTCGAGTAGCAAATAATCATGTCCGGGTTCGGGAGCGGCCAACGGGTCGTATGAGTGACATGAGCAATGGGCCGTCCAGCTCATATGCTGACCATTGGCCATTGTTCGGACGTTGCGGCAGTTGGTTTGCTTTGCTTTTTGGCGATTTTACGGCTTATGGGCAGCCACAGTCGTGTCGGTGTATGTGAGTGTGTGTGCTGCGTGTGTGTGTCTGAAGTGTAGTCGTAGTCGAGTTTATTAGTAGGGCTTATGTTTTATGGTCAAAGGGACAATGGATGGCCAACAGATGTTTGTTGGCCTTTTGTTTGTTTCGACACCCACACTGCCCCACTCATTCAATGAGTGCGAATGAGTGAGTGTGTGTGAGTGAGTGCATAGCAGTAGTTGTCATATGCTCGAATAAGCTGTCATATATGAAACATAATTTATTATGTTATAAAATATTATCGGATCTCTCTCACAACGGGCACACGCTGGCTGCTCGCTTCATTGGCCGCTTAAATCGACTATTTTGTTGGGGACTCAATTATTCATATTGTTGCTGCCACAGTTCTAGTTGTTGTTGTTGTTGTTGTTGTTTATTGTTGTTATTGTCGTTGGGTATTATGACATGTGTTTGGTTTGTAGTTGTCCGTTTGGGCTGCCGCTTGTTTGCTCGCTTGCCTGCCATTTATAACAACTGTCAACTGGCTACAACTTGGATAATCGATGTGAGCAGCGATTCCAAATTGGACAGGACAATACGGACATGGACACGTTCAGCGAAATGTCAAAGCTTAAGCGCTGCTGCCATTTATAGATCATTAAACATAACTGTCTCTCTTACTCGCACTACTACGCTTGACTGTTATTTAACTAGCTTGTTTCTTTTATTGTCCTTGCAGTGTCCTGCAGCACGGTCACGGTAACTAAATGCCAAGCGGCACTTCGCACGTTGCAGGCGTTTCAATTCTTTCGTCCCACCTGCCTGTGCAAGGAGCCTGGCATGGATCCCGATTGCAATCATTTTCGGGATTTTCTATTCGATCATCCTTGCGGATTTGTGCTCAAGAAAGGTAAGTGCCACCAGATATTGAAGCGTTGTGGTTTTTCCGCAGACCATGAGCACTTCCGAAAGGCTACACTGTTAAGTTTACCCGTATTTAATTGATTCACCTATACTAATACAAATTTCCGTTTCGCTGCTTTCGTTAATCCTTTCCACAGCCGAAAAGGATCCCTATCCGATTGATGCTCTTCCCACGTGCAATCATGCGCTGTCCGTGTGCCAGCAGGAACGCAAATGCCTAAAGCTCTTTGAGGATTTCAAGACGCACTGCAAAGTGCGCGACAATAAGTGCAAAATGGAAAACAGGTGAGTGGATAGCACTAATGAAAATGGGAATCTCTGTTAAGTACAGATAAGAAGGTTAACAAGAATACCTAAAGCAGAGAATGAAACGGAAAGAGAAGAGAGCCGGACTCCAGCCAATACAGCAATACTGTAGTCTATACAGCAAAGTCCATCGTATCAATTATAATTATTGATTATTCAGTTTGCATATTAAGCAATAGCGTCGCTCCATATTCGCTATACAGCAGCTGATTTGCCGCTTGCATTTGTTGAGCTAGCAAATTGGTGGAAATTGGGAAGCGAATGCTAATTAGAACAACAGCACAAAAAGTGCACCATCGCAGTCTGTAAACTTGGTGAAGAAAAAAAATCATTCAATTAAATTGTTTGGCTTAATGAGAAAATTGATTTTGTTGCTGTTGATGCCACTCGACTTGAGTATCCTAGCTTGTTGCCACAAAAACTTTGCAACGGCAACAGGAGAAGCAACATTTAATTTCGATATTCGACATACGTATACAAAGAGCACGAGAGAAAGAGTGTGCGAAAGAGGAGGAGAGAAAGCCTTGGCGCCCAACTTCAAGTAACAGCAGCAAAATGAAATTTCCTGCTGGCTGAGTTCTTGCTGCTTCCTGCAGCCTTCACATATCCTTGCTGACGCCACTTCCTTATGGCGCCTGGCGCAATACCCTCGAATACAAACGTTCTGAATGTTTTAATAACTCGAAATGACTTTTTGCGGCGGTCTCGACGCGGTCTTTGGCCTCGCTGTAGGTTTCACTGCCGTCATCTAAACTTTCAACACGCACAGCCCCAATCCACCCCCGTCAACCGCCAACTTCTGGCAACCATCCGATAAAATATTAATTGAACTGCCGTATGTATGCATTTTTGATGCAATTGCCAATTTTAAAGTTTGCTGCGCCGAGCGGAAGTCGAGTCTTTGGTCGAGTTTGGGGGTTTAATTCGCAGAGCTCTCTTTTTCCAGAGGGTCGGCGGTAGGGCTTAATATGAATTCAATTAGCTTAGCTGTGGTGGTTGCGGGTTGAGCTAGCTGCTGCTGCTGCTGCTGTTGCTGTTGTTTTTGCTGCTACTGTTGCGGTTATTAACCAAACAACTTTACTAAATGCGAAACTTTTCATTTTATTTTTTAGGGATGCCTGTCATGATGCCTGGACTAATCTACGCCTATCGCCCATGTTCGGCTGTATTTGCCCAAATAATCATATGAAAAAGCGCTGTGATCGTATTTTTAATATTGTTAATCACAATCCGTGTGTGGGTAAGTTTTCAGGCAACAGCTGATACTAAAACAACAACAACAAGAACAAGTACAACAACAGCTACAACAATAACACAAATCCTCAAAAACGCGTTAAGTGCTGAAACATTCGTCGACATGCGAGAAAAAACGTTTTGATTTAATCTCTTCAAAACATTAAAACTTTCTTATATAAATGGTTTAAAAAAAAAAAAGAAAAAAGCAAAACCATAATGAGTACCTATCTAATGATATGTTTTAAGTTCTTTTCAACACAAATGAATTACTCTTAAGTTCCGTCTACTTTTAATTTCAATTTAGATTTCCATTTCGTACTCTTATTGTTTTCTTTTTGGTACCTTGTGAACCGCTCAAAACTGAAACTAGCCTAATAATTTTAGTAATATAAAAACCAATGAAAAAATTACCTGAAACTAAAATCGCACGCTTTTGCATCAAACCAAAACAATCAAAAATTATAAATAAATTAGTAAAAAAAAAATGATACCCACATTGCGTGATTTGCGATCAGTAAACAACTTTTTAGCAATATGCCTATATCAGTACATAAATATATGGTTATACTATACGTATTAGCAATGCTCAGTAATATCGTAAAAATCACGTATACGTGCATACTATATATATGTAAGCCTAAGCTGCCGTGTTTACTGTCACTGCTCTATCTCCCTCGCTCTCTCCTATCTCTCTCTCTCTCTCTCTATCTCTCTCTATAAATATACATGTATACATACAAATTGCTCTCTTCGCTCACAATATTTAACTATCAAAGCATCGTAATATCGAACTAAGTATTATATAATACATAGCAGTAAGCGTTACCCAAATACCCCCACCTAACTGCCAGCCAATTGAACTTGATATGTCACTCGCTAACTGGTTCTGTTACTGTGCTTTATATAGACTTATATTGATATTAATATTGATTGATTGATTGATTGCACCACAATACAAAAATAAAACACCCCTTAGAACTATCAACTAATGCTATCAAATGCTGGTAACTGTAAAACTTATTATTATTTTAAACGTAATCGCTGCTGTACTTACTAACTCCCGCCTCTGTCTTTATGGTATACAAATCTTAATATTTATTTAAACAGTTTAGGGCAGGTTTAGCAGGGCTACTTGCTTAGGTTCCAGAAACCTTTCTCTACTCGGTAGACTCTCAGCTTAGTCAATGCTTTTATTCGCTGAACCAAAAAAAAATCATATATACTATTTCGACCAACCCAAACTAAAACGTTACCTCAATATCAAATTTAAGCTCGAGTTCAACTCAATTTGGGCTAATTCGTGTACACGTTCAGCTGGCGCTTTTGGGTCACATCCACACCTCGCCAGCACCTGCATCCGCACCAGCAACAGCACCTCCGCAACCCCGCACCCTTGCATTAAATGCACCCTAGGCACTAATAGCACTAATTAAATAAGCGTACCCGCACCACTCACAACACCCACGCTACTCACACCACTACGCACACTACCCACACCTGATGCGAATTTGCACCTTTTTTGCACTAAACTGTTTTTGCACCTCACGCATGCCTGCGCCCGACCCCCACGCCGCTCTTCCCCGCACTTTGGCTCTTTTCAGATAGAATAATATTTTTCCCCAACGGTTTGCCAAAGCTGAAACCAAAGCCGAAAACGAAGCCGACGCGCAAACAGAAACAAAAGCACGGACCACGCATCGGCCACGCCCTTAATGGTACCGAGCTCTTGTCGAACAACATCGAGTACCAGTACCATGACGAGCCAAACAACGGGCACAGAATGGGCCAGGAGAGTCAGTTGGCCGAGGAGGGAGAAGAGGATCTGGCGGAAGATGATGAGGATTCGGATGATGATGACTATGATGATCGCATACGCGCTGAAATTTATTCCAACTATCCGCATTATCTGCACCCACCCTCGTGGGGCATTAACAATCCGTTGGTGCTGGCCTCGCACAGTCCGCATACCTCGGAGGACGACGACGTGGTCGTCGAAGTGCCCACCACTACACGACATGGCCACAAGAAGCAGCCATTGGATGAGATGGAGCGCAGTGTTGTGGACGATGTTGTGGTGGTAGTTGATGCTGGTCCTGGGCCGCATCAGCACACGCACACGCGGCCACACACGCACACCTACTATGCCCATGGCATGGAGCCGTCGACCACCGTGGGAACCATTGGATCCATTGGATCCTCTTCGAGTTCGCCTAAGTATGCAGCAGCGTTTATGATTCGGCCTGGCCGAGCTCAAGTCGGCATCTTTAAGCCGGCAACTTTGCAAAAAGTTTCACATATGACTGCCTGAATGGGGGATCGCTTTACCCCACCACCACCAACCCTTGGTGTAGCACATTCCACGTCTAGCAAGGCAATCCTTTCATTAACTCAGCCAAAACTCTTTTAACCACAGCAACGGCTGCAGCTAAAAACTTTATGCAGCAAAGCTTTTAAAATAATTGACTCACTTGGGTATACCACAATTTCCGGTTAACAACCAACAGTAGTCGACTAATGAATAAGTCCAACAACATCAACAAAAACAACAACAACAACAATGGGCAACAAACAAATAAATATAGACCTGGCCGGTTCGAGCTCTTCCCGCCTGCACCCTGGGCACCGGTTGGGCATTTAAATACTTAATCGACTCCTAATGCATGCCATCTTAATAAATATTCAAACGATGCCTTCTGCACTGAGTATAAACAGCTTTCGGAGATGGTATTTGTGAGTTAGTCCGGCCATCCCTTGCGGCTGGCCAAAAATTAATTTATAATGCCTGCAGCTTTGTCAATTGCCGTTTGGCAGCAGCGGATGTGCAAAGTCAACCGACTCTGGCTTGTAAAGCTTTAAGCCGATTTGTGTCAGTATGAGATCATTTTCTATATGAATTAACAGCAGCTATGTCCCTTACAAAATGTCCTTATGCAGCACAACTAAGCAACAATCAGGCACTTGAGATGCACATGCAAATGCACATGCACATGCACATGCACATGCACATGCACATGCACACGCACATGCACTTGCTATGCGGACCAAAGCTAATTAGCTTACTTCGCTCCACACACACACGCACACCCAACAATTTCATCTATTTGTAATTTGCACTTAATTTCGTAATACTTGCAACTTCATTTAGCACTGGCACCAACACCCACAATACTGCACATCTTGGCGATTTAGTCGCCGGTAGCGATATAACCCACCGCACCCACTCCGCGGGCACCATGGAAGAGAGAGGTAAGTAAATAAATAATTGACATTATTGAATGAATGAAATTCACTTAAATTAAGCTTCCAATTAAATGAGCTTCAATTGATGGGGCTCTCTTTCTCCTCTTTTGGTGTCCAACTCTTCAATAATGCACTTCAATCTTAAAGCAAAATCTATTTATAGGGCGAATAAATAATTAGAAACATTTAATTTTTTAAAGTTGTACTACTTTGTCATATTTAGGTGTTTAATAATAAGAATTGTTAAAACTGAAAAGGTTTTTATAATAATAATGTGCACAATCCTTTGCAATCATTTTATTGTAGCACTATTTTTATTTCTTTTAAATGATTAAACATTTTACTTTTATATGTGCTATCAGTTTATTTAGTTACATATATAAAATATTTTAAGCTTTTAAGTTTTAATTAAGTTATAATTTTCAGAAAATGTTTACTGTAAACAACGGCTGCTATTTCTAAGTAAACAGTTAAACATTATTGCTCTCGAATGAAACCTGGAGAAGCATAAACAAATCTAATTATTTATTTTGAAGACACTTTAGTTTTTCGAAGCGTTTTATCTATTAAAATACTTATGAGTAGTACTATATGCAAGTTCAGGTAATATATTAGACCACTTGGACTTTGCGGTTCTCTGACTTTGAAGTAGAGAGTGTAAGGGTAAGGATAGGATAATGTAAAAGCACATTCGACAATTGAAGCACACATTGCACCACTGAACCACTGAGCCGCTGAGCCACTGCACCAGAGGCACTCGATGACAGTAACTCACAGCGCCTCGCTTCATCTAGCTATCTATCTCCTGCGCTCTGCACACTCGCATCCTTTTGTGGCATCAAGTACTAATACTATATTAGACAAACAAGCGGCGGGCAAACAAACGAAGCGGCAAATAGCGGCCAGAGTATCGGTATCCTGCATCCTGTGCTTCGCAGTTGCCCATGTCCGTTGGCAGCTTTGTGCGCCCGGCCGTTTGTTTGCCGCTAGCTGTCTTGTTATTGGCATTTGCCATAGCTATTGGAGTACAGTTATGGCTATCTGCCACTGCAATCACTTGCAGTTAAAGTAATGCACTCACACGCACACTTGCATGCTCACACACACGCACACACGTTCATTTAGAATGCACTGAAGTGCCATAAATAAGCATTTTGTTTGTTAGCTTTGTGCCCTGGCGCCAAGTACCCGTTGAACTCGTAAGCACCCTTCCCCTCCCAAATCTATACCAAAAACTTAACTAAGTATGTGAAGTACACCCCCACTACGCCCCTTTACGGTGTACGTTGGTTTGTATTGGCATCCATTATGTGTATTATATTCAGTTGCTGCTTATTTACAGCACTCAACCACACACACACACACACACACACATACAAAATGACACATACTCACTCCACAGTCAGCTCAATATGCGGCTTTATCTTAGCTCCCGCTCTTTCTCTCTCTTTCCCCCTCACTCTATCCATCTATCTTCCACACACACACACACTATTGCTGCATGCGCATTATGTTAATCGATCGATTGCCCCTCGCACTGAATGCTTGGCGTTTTGATTGCTACGCAATTTGTGCACTTCGCTCGTATTTATTGCCACAAAATTCACTAGCCATTGTCATTGGTCGTCCATCATCTTCATTATGATCCACATCATTATAATCATCATCGTCATCATCATCAGCATCGATGCTGATCCTTTTGTTTCTGCATGCGCTGCGGCATTCGTTGGCCATCTGCTGACAGGGGTTATAAATTTAAATCTGCTTTTATTGTGCTCAGTGTGACTTCATTTTCCAATTTAGCTGTGGGACACACACAAACACACACGCTTACGCGCTGTTGGGAATGTGCGCAAATATTAGCAAATATTTATTCATGTCACATGCAACGACTCACAAAAATGTAAATGCACTTGTATTATTTTCAGTTGATTCACATAAGAGCTACAGCAACAACAATAACAAATTGTAATCACGCGCTGTTGAAGCACAGCAAAAGCAACAACATCAGTTTTATAACCAAAACTGGTAATTAATGTCAGTTAAAATGGTAACTGATTCCGGGCCAAACGCTGTCAATTTAGATGTTAAATTTGTTTGTCCATTGATTAGATTTTTCAACATATCAATTTTTTTTAATGATTACAACAAAATGCTATGCGCACAATTTTAAAATTTAATTAGGCACAGATGAAAACCATTAAAGCGATTTGTGAGCAATGCGCCAACAAACAAATTGAGCCCACAGACACTGACTGAGTTAAGTACTTGGACAGCTAGTTGGTGTGGCGTATTGTTTGCGTGCCATAAATATTTTCATAATGTTGCAAAATCCGCTTTGTTGCAGCGTCCTTCATGCCGCATGCACCGAATGCTTGGCCTGCTATTGTCTGTGTGCGTGTGCACACAGATTCAAATTAGGACATGAAAACCGCCGATTCCAGCTATAAACTTACACACACGCTTGCGCATATAGGCACGCACTGTGCTAGCGCACTTTTGAAGTTATAACGCATTTTCAAATTTATTTCAGTTGCTTATGAGCTTGTACAAAATGTGTGCATGTGTGTGTTGCTGTTGGTCTTTAATTCACATTTCTGCATAAATCAAGCCAAATGTATCAATTTTTAAATAAACATATTTAGCCTCATTTTGTGTAATCCTTAACGTGCAATAGGCTTCGTCATGTGCCAACTGAAAACGCAAGTAGAGGAGCCTGACTACATTGCGTATACGCAACAGTTGAATGACGCTGAACGCGACAGATCCACTCATCGAAAACTGCTTACATGGGCGATAACACTTAACAAACAGTGCTAATCTCATTTCCAGCTGATACAGCCCCAGCCCCTCCCCGCCAATCCACAGGCACTCACTCCTCCACTGCTTTACAGACAGTTAGGATTGCGATTGCGATTCCGCTTCGAATTCCGCCAATTCTGTTGCTCCCCAGCAGTTTGTTGTGCAAATATTTGCTCGACAAAATAAGCGACAAACATAAATACATTTTGTAGACAGCAGGCAGCAGGCAGCTTGGCAAACGCACGGCAGTCTTCATGGCAAATCCGTGCCATTTAGCGCCCGCAATGACCGTCTGCCTGCTGCTCCAGCTCTTGCTCCTGCTCCTGCCCCTGCTGCTAGAGCTTAAGCGCGGAGTGTTTCGCATCCTTTGAGCATTGCCAAAGCCAGGCAGGCGCCTCAAATGTAGCGCACTTTGGCGTGTGCTGGGCGAGATAAGCAAATGCTGCTGTGGTTGCAAAGCTTCTCCATTGAATCGTTTACCATTTGCTCGCTCTAACAGCGCATGACATTTGAAAGATACACAAAGTTAGACACAAACATACGCACATACACCCACACACAAACACACTCGCACAGCACGTCTCTTTTAGCATTTGGTTTGTGCTTCTGCCGCCCTGCTATTGACATTGATAGCGGAAACGGCAACCCTGCCATGGCAATTGATGCGTGGCGAGCCACACAATAAGCAATTGGCTTAATCGAACTGAAAATCGGCTAAGCTTTGTCGTCATGACATCAATGACACTTGCTTAAAGTTGGCTTACGTATTAGATTAATTTGGGCACATGAACTCCTTGTGAAATGTTCTACCTACTTAATTTACCTTGCTGTGAGTTTCATAACTGCCTTATTATTTTGTTGTTATTTCTGCATATTTCTTAATACAGCAGCTTGTTGTTTCAATTTATCACCATAAAAGCTTGCTGAAAGGCTGCTGCAAGCACTTTTAAGCTTTAAGTTTCAATATTTGCAATATGTGTGTAATATCTTAAACGCTACAACTTTAAACCATGCTTCTGCAACTTTACTCCCGCTGCTAAAGCTTTCGGCTGATGTCATTGTTGCATATCCTTATGCCAATGTCCTGCTTACATTCAAAAGTTTCTCCATCTTAGCTGCACATAACTAAAATGTATAAATGTATATGATTAATTGATTAAGAAATATTTTATCCACATACAAACACACTTAAATATTTTATTCGCAGCACTTTTAGAAAGCACAAATTTTCCAAACTGTCTATGTAAATTAAAAGTATTCTTGTTTTTCTAAAATTTAAACTTGTCATTCTGTTTAATTATTCTTATTTGAGTTTTTAGAAAAGACTAAAAAAGTATTTGCCCAAACTATTCAATGGGCACACACACACACATATATATTTCTAATTTTCTCTTAAATTACAAAACTAAAAAGTTACGCCAAGAAAAATAAAAAAAAAATATACAAAACTGATTAAATTGCAAATTGATTGGATGGCCAAATGTTGCTGAGCTCCCATCCAGTTCCGTGTAGCAACGACTACAACAATAATAATAATAATAACAACAACAGCTACTCGAATCTAAAACATCAACAACAACAACATAAGTAACAGCTTCTGTACAACTACAACAACCATTCTACCATCTCTCTTCTTGCTACTTAAAATTCCAGTAAGAATATTGGGCATGGACGAGAAATTGCATCAGAGAATCTTCGATGATAATTTGGCGCTTATTGATACGCCATTAATAGAGACGGGCGGCTCGGCGAGCAGCTATAATTATCCGGGCTCAGTGTCCAACTCGCTGCACGGCGTGCTCAGCTATCCGTTCAATATAAGCGGCTTCCATCAGCGCCACATGGCAGCGGGTGCATCGGCAGCCGCCGGAAATGAGTCGCCATTCGATATCGTTGATACGGGCTACGGCTACGCCGGCAATGGCAATGGCAACGGAAACGGAAATGGCGGTGTTTACTATCAAAGTATGTGCACATGTTTAAGCATGAACGTAATCAATTAATAAATAACAGACCACAAGCTAAGCAAACTGATTAGAAATAAATGAAGAGAATAAAACAAAATAAATGAAAAGATGTAAGAAACAAACTTCTAGGCACACGGATAATGTTTGTTTTCACCCGACAGGTAGATTTTTGTAATTATTTAAAATGGTTTTTCATTTTTTAAATTTTGTTTTCCTCTAATGAAATTTTTGACGTTTTGCGCGTGTTGTGTCGTCCCCTGTAACTAACACACCCCGTTGCAGGTTAATTTTTAAGTACCAAATTTTTACTGTTCAACTTTTTATTTATGTTGAAAACTAAATAATAAAACAAAAACTAAAACAGGCGCGCTCCGAGCTCGTCTTGGCTTTGTGCATAATTTTTGGCATTTGCTCAACTTTTATAAATATCAAACAGTAACAACAAAAACTGCCTACATACTCGTATATATACATATTACTATATATAATTAAAAATTAATACAATATTTAAATATATAATTATTTTTAGTTCAATTTTTCCCTTTGTAGCTTGCCACTTGTTTTTAAAATGTTTTGGAAATTTTCTAAAATTTTAACAAGAAACAAAACAAAATTTGCTTTAACTTCAGTATGAAAATGTCTCATAATGAATTTTGTTTGCTATTTTGTTTATATAATAAAAGAAGGATGGAAGAAGTGTACAAATAGTTATTAAATTTTAAAAAATGTATCATGTTCTTAACTAAATGAAAAACTCGAAAGTTGTAAAACTTTTAAACAAAATTCATTAAAAACCCAAATTAAAAGCGGCATATACATTTTTGTTACATTTAATTCAAGCACACTTTTTTAAAAAACATTCTTCGTTGCACCCGTTTTTTGAAACAAGAACAATAACAGTTACAATCACAAATAATTCAACTACTAAGTACAAACAACATGCGTTACATACATTCCTTTTTTCAACTTAAACATTTTGTTCATATGCAAATTTTTTACCAATATGTTTCATATGTTGCGTGTTCAAGTTAAATAACAATAGCAACAACATCAACAAACAAAGACACGTTAAACACCAACAAAACAACAAAAATTAAGTCAGTTCTTCAGAAAAAATGCAATAAAGCCATTCACTCATGCCATCCAATTTGGTATCCTTTGAATATCAACATAAACATAAACAAATGCCAATATTTTCAAAACCAAAACTTTCATACAAACCAAAATACACACAGACTAAGCTCAACTCAAAAATCATTTTGATATTTTGAAGGTTTTATTCGAAACTCGAAGCCTTAAATAAAATTTGTTAATTTTGTATTGCAGCTGCTCAAATTTGATTTCAGCTTTTTGTTTCCGTTTGAAATTTTAAGTTTCATATTTTCTTTTTCGTGAGCATTTAAAATAATTCATATAAATTTACAAATAAACCATTTGGCTTTGCGTGCATTGACAGATTTTTGCCTTTATTTAAAACGAACAAAAAAAACTAACTTTTGATATCTATTAGCCAGTATAAACCACAGTCAATTCTCATTTAAACAACATTTCCATTGACCTATGTGCCCCCGGGCACAAAAGTGTTACCAAGTCAGAGCAAAAACACACAAACACACACAGGCTGTCATCGTTATATATATTGTTGCTCCTGGCGATTTCGAATTTTTTTGTATGAGTAGGTTGTAGTTAAAAGGCCAAGGCAAATCGATTGAAATATAAAATATATATGCGTAAAATAAAATATAGTATTTAGTTGTGTTTGATACGCCCCCGCAGCCCCGCTGCACTTGTCGCCCTGCTGCTCACTCAAAACAATAGTCAACGCTCCTCCCCTGCTCCCCCGCAGTTGAAAGTAATGAGAATCGATTCCCAATTGAACGACCCCTTTCAAGTTGTAGGCAACAAATTTGACATATATGTATTAAAATATATGAATGTATTTGCTTTTAATTTCGTTATTTATGCTTTTCGTTTTTATCATTCGATTATTTCGATTATTTATGGGTGGAACTGTGTCGGTTCATAATGTGCTTAACCATGGCAATGAATAGGAACAAAATCCAACAACAAGTTGGTTAATTAAAATGTAATCTATAACTGGCACCAGCTGTTGCCGCCCCCCAACATGATGCGACTAAGCTCCGCTGCAGCCCTCAACCCCTCCCCAATGTGCAGTGAGCACGCGTTGATAATCATTTCTAATTAGGATTATTTACTATCAATCCCATGACGTAATTGAGTTATGAATAACGCCAAAGCTGCTGTGATAAGCTCGAGTTATATATTCATATCTTAATTAGTTAGTTATAAATGCAATAAATAAATATGCAACTCCCGCAAAAAAAAATGTAAAAAAGTAAATTAATTAATTGCATGCCGCATATACTGCAACATTTCTCGAGTAGCAGAAAAAAAAAATATTTTAATAAATGCATAAATTTAACAAATATCCAAAAATATCGAAATTCATGCAATAACTCGGTTTAAATAAGGCTCAGTCCAGTCCATTTGCTTCGCTCATGTTGGTGGACGCACTCTGTGTAGCTTTTTAATCTGCTTAAGGGTTGCAAGTGCAATGTAATATTTCCAACATGGTTTGGCTTTAGTCTAAGGCGATAACTAATGGAATCCTTTAAATCATTCTTCTTCAATCACTGCGGTTACAATTGTGGCAAACGACGTTCCGCCGGCTCTGAATACACTTGTGATTTCGTTCGGCAAATGCAACTTTATCTCGACGCAAATGCAATGGTCACTTGGGCACGTCTGTTGCTGCAGGTGGTCAGGATGTTGAAGTTGACCTCTCAACGGAAATAATCAAGCAACACTTTCAGGTAAGTTCGACCTGTGGTGGGCGTGGTCGGGGCTATGCATCATTTTGCTGCAGTGCAGCTGTCCCCGAGGACGGGAAAATGCAAAATACTCAGAATATGTTGCAGCACCTTTTACATTTTGCGTGCACAACAATGCAAATTCTTCTCTTTTTGTCCACCTGTGTAGAGTACCTGCCACACAGCACTGGATACCTGCCGGGAGGATCCAGCCTGCTCATCATCGCTGCAGCCAATGTTGATGCACTGTGAGCTGCATCGCTGCAATCGCAATGCGTGCATGACATCATTGCAGTCCTTCTACAAAGGGCCGCACGAGGACTTGAATCTGGACATTGCCTTTTGTCTATGCAAGTAAGTGGCAGCCGTTTTCGTTCAACTACAACGGCAATAGCAACAGCAACTACAGCGGCATATTCTTGTCTGCTCTTTCTCCACCTGCTCTGACCCTACAGAAAAGCCACCAGCAACAACAACAACAGTCCGAGCCAGCAGAACGCAAATCGGCCCGACATGTGCATGATTGCACAGGAAAAACTGCATCCCGTCTGCGCACAGAGACCGCCCGATAACAATAATCCAGCCAGCTCCAATGGCATTTACTACCATCCGCCGCCTGCGTGCCATGTGGTTGCCGACAGCTGCAAAGAGGATCGCGAATGCAGGTGGGTCAATATATAGTCGGAGTTCCTCATGGCAACGCGTTGTGTCCATAATTCAAATGTTCGCTAAGCGGAAGCGGAAATATGCGCATCGCATGTAAATCCGAAGCTTGTTTTAAACTGTGCGTGGGTGTGTGTATGTGTGTGTGATTGTGTTTTAAGCGTTTTTGCAATGCAATTTAATTAAACAAACAAAATTGAATTTAATGTGCTTATTGAATTACACGTGCTTAGCCAGGCCAAAGGCAGCCGCAAGTTTAATGACACTTTTGACAAAGTCATTAAATTGGCAACAGGCAAAAGCTGAAGCGCGCTCAAAGCCAACAGGCAACGGCTCAAGTTGTACGGCTTTTTTGCCGAAATCCGCGTCACCGTCAAACCGGGCGTTAAATTACCATTTTGTGCGCTGCTCTTCATTAAACACGGCACCAGGAACCGCACAGTCAGGCTGCATTTTGGGCCACTTCACTGAGGCTGGCAAACTTCAAGCCAAGCCGCGAATGTGTCAAACACAAAGTTAAGTGATAAATACGATGCAGCCATGGCTTGCAGGCATCACGTGTGTGTGTGTGTGTGAGGGTGTGTGTCATGGGGGTGTGTTTGTTGTCATGTTACAGCTGAACGACCGCAGCGAACGTGGCTCTGGCTGTGGCTGTGAAAATTAATTGCCTTTTAAGTGAATCTCACTTGCTTTAGTAAACAACTAAATTGGACTAATGACGCTCATTTTATATGCTGCGCTGCGGACATACAAGTGTGTGTGTGTGTGTGTGTTTGTATGCAAGCGCGTAGTCAACTGCAGTCTGCGTCTAGCTATTCGAGTGTTTATGTTGACTTATTACGTATACGACGCGTTGTATTCAAGCACGTGCATTGTACATTGTTGGGCGGTGGGCGTGGTGCATTTGCTTGGCTGCATAGTCGGTGGGTGGCAAATTGTTGTATTAACTCTTAGATGGCTGCCTCAATGTGCGCCACGTGCCGTAACTCTTCAGCTGTAATGCATCAATTTAAATAACCAAAAGCCGACTTAGCCGGGCACTAACGCTTAGCATGATTTATATAATCATCATAATTATTAACTGTCCGTAAGTCAGCAAGAAATGCTGTCAATTATACAATAAATATATGTTAGAAATAACAATGCGGTTGCCTAAAGACTGCACATTTTTGGATGGAAAGTTGCGATTTAATGCATGGCTGACAGACATTATTTGTCTATAACTTGGCGGTAAACTTGCAGCTGATTGATATGATTGAAATGCCAATGGCTCCATTGTAGTCTACACTTGTCTGCAGTGTTTGGCATATTACGCATACGCCGCATGGCACATAAAGCAGCTCAGATTTTACAGCCAGGTCGTAAACCTAATGCAATAAATTGTGTAGCCATTTTGTGGTAGTAGCAACAACTGCAGCACCATGAAATGCAGCAGAATACCAAGTGTAATTCCAGCATAAATGGCATGACATCAATCTCAGACTCAAGCAAGCTACAGTAACTGCAGGTAACGGGATACTTACTCACAGACAGTCAGGCTGACAAACAGACATATAGATAGACAGACGTTAACTGCAGCTAACTGATGAGCTTGCTGCCGGCAGACACATGTTAACACTCCGATTTCCTTCTATACCTTTACATTCACAGGCTCAAGCTAGAGTATTATGAGCAGGCCTGTGCCGTGGACAGCGTGACCAAGAAGTGTGCCGGCCGTCCCAGTGGCTGTCGCACCGCAATGATTGGCATACTGGGCACCATGCTGCGCACCACATGTGCCTGCCAAGGCACAGATCCACAGCACCTCTATCAGTGCGTTGGCTGGCGTCGCCTGCTCTGGATGAATCCCTGCGTGGGTGAGTACAACTAGACAACTTGATAATTGCTTTGGCAAAGCGAAACAAAAACTAATGCATGTTGCAGTTGAGGCGCAAAAGGACTTTCATATGAAGCGGCTGGCTGAGTTGGGCTTCCTAACCACAACCACAACGACGACAACTACCACGACAACCACGACGACAACGACACGCGCACCACCACCACCACCGCCACCACCACCGACCACGCCAACAACTACGACCAGCTTGCAGCCGAAGCAAACTCCAAGAAAGCCGGCAACGCATATCTTTAAGGTAAGTAGATGTCCCTGTGCCTGCAGCTAATCCTGTACACATGTTAGTGAGTCAAAGCATTAACGGAACTAATTGTGGTGCAACAACTGTGCGCCTGGCGGTGGTCAAGCGCACCGGGCCAGCCTGGTACCCAATCCGATTAACAAGCTTCAACAACAGTTTCCTGTCCTTTTCATCCGTCCCCTCATTCACTTGTCCTTCAATCCGTCTGTTTTCCAATCAGCACTCAATCAGTGGCTGCACAGAGTTGAAAAGCCAAGCGCACAATATAGCCCCTGCGTTCGAGTATCGGAGTATCGAGTATGAATTCAAACCGACAAAGCAATCAATTTCTGCCCTTCTGCTGATGCTGCTGCTGCAGCTGCAGTTGCTGCCGCTACTGCTGCTGCGGCAAAAAGATTAAATGCAGTGCACAAAAATATTTGAGTTCGCATTGAAAACCTTTAAAACATTTTCTTTTCATGTTTCATCCATACGACCAACAACAATTGTGAACAACAATCGCAAAACCACAAAAAAAAATTCAAATAAATAAAAAATTACGAATAACTGTGCAACAAAATTGAAAAAAACTACGACACAAAAAATAAAAATAAATAAATAAAATAAAAATAACAACCCAATCGCACAACACAACCCAAACAGGCAAAGGAGAAATCGGAGCCAGCATCGGTGGAACACAATTATCTCGATCCGCCCGATTCGGTGCCGTTGCACAGCGGAAACGATGCCAGCGGAAACGGCGGAAATGACGATTATCATGGCGGCAATGAACACGACAATAATCATGGCAAGGGGCATGCACATGGACACGGGCATGGCAATGGCAATGCCAACGGCAATGCCAACGGCAACGGAAATGGCAAGGGCGACCACCGGCGGCAGGGCAAGAAGAATGGAAATGCCCAAAACGCTGGCCTTGGCAGGCAGGGCGTAGATTTCGATGATCCGGTAATTTTTGTTGACCAAATGGAAACAACAGAGCTTGTGCACAGCATCAGCCACACAGAGCCGACAACCACAACGACCACAACAATGGCGACCACAACAACAACGCAGCCGCCAAGTAAGTAAATGCATGTGGGCGTCCCCTTTGCATATTGCCTACGCGTGTGCGTGTGCGTGTGTATGGACATGTGGGAATGTGGGCATGGCCCATCATTATAGGCTACTGAGTGGTGATAACTGCACTCCAGCAAACTTGGCCGGTATTATTGGATATGTAACCACGCTTCCGGTTAAATTCCGGTTACATTTTTCCTCCGCACTTTTCACAAGTTTTTTTACCTGTCGGCCGCCCAGATTCTGCTCCACTGATTTGCTTAATGCGTTGTCATTTCAAGTTCTGTCACTTTATCACAATTAGCCTGTGTCGAGGGACCACTAACAACAGCTGCCACCACCCTACCACGCCCAACGGGCACAAAATGCTGCGCATTTCCGTTTTTCAAATGCTCAACATAATTGATGTGGTTAATGTGGTTCTGTGGCTAATTGAAAACGCAGCTCAATGCTGTATGAATTCTATATACTTGTGTATTTAAATAAAACAGTGCGTGCCATTTAAAATGCAGCATAATATGCAGGCGTATGTGTTAGTATGTGTGTGAGTAGCAACCGGAAATGAGTTTGTTTTGGGCTGATATGGCATTTATTCAAATGTATATTGCACATTTTTAAAATATATGTATATAAATAGACTCGCGGATATTGTCCGAATATTGTCCGCGGATATTTGTGCTAAAAATGTTAGATATTACTTTTCCACTAATTACACGCCCGTGGTAAAATGATATCTACCCATCTTGATCTCCACTTCTATTTGAAAATATGTTTAAAGTGCATCGAATATAGAACCAAGTGCTTGCATCAACGGTTTCCGCCCATGTTAGTCTTACGGTGAGAATCTTGAAGCTAAAGAATAAAATTTCGTTTATTAAACCTTTGACCCGCATTTGCCCGCATTTACCCAAGAACGTGATTCAATTTCAATTTTCAAAACTCTACATAAGAACTTAACAGCAGAGTTAATATAGCCATTTGCGCCTGTCCGTCTATCGTCATGAAGCTTTTCCTAGGTCTGCCTAGATTTCCAGGTAGTACTACTTACTATATCATATAGTTAGCATAGAAGTATTCTAACCTTTATTAAGATTTTGTATAAAATCTGTTGTTTTTTAAGCTTTATTGATGAAACTTGACATAAATGAGTTTATGGGAGCAAATTGTTATCAATATCAAATATATCATATTGTTGTCAAAGGAGCGATCAAAGAAAAGGTGATTGCACCTTCACTAGACACGGCAGTTTCTTAAGCTTCTTCATGCCCCTCACATATCTACAAGCCCGTCAACCACATGTCGTCAAGGGTATTTATTCTTCGACATGCCGAAAGAACCCTTTCTTTCTTGTTCTGGCATTCTTTACGCATTTATTTAATACTTCCGTCATATTGTCCACTTCACGAGCAAACCTGTTTACAAATTGCATTAAATATGTAAATGAGTTTGTTTGTTTGCCACACGTCTATCGCCGAAATAACATATATACATATACACCTGTACACATATGTATACAATGGATAGATACGGGCCTTGTGTATGAGCTGTAATTATTTGGACCGTTGGGACATTTGCGTGTTCATTTTGCATGAATTGTTGTTGTTTAGTCACTGAACAGCGCCGAGTTGTGCAGTTTGCATGTCTCATCTATAATTGATGTGAATCGTGCGGCGGGTGGGTCAGCATTTCACATCAGCTTTTAACAATTTTAAAGACCCACATTAAAGTTGTCTGTAAAATAAATTGTTTTCTTAACACTGCTCAAATATTAATTTTATGCCACTTGAGCCAAAAGTGTATTAATAATTAAAGAACTAAATAAGATTTCAGGTGTTTTGTAGTTGATTTATTCAGAAAGTTTTGTAAATGATTTTCGAACCAGGCGAATGCCCAAGGCGTTAATAAAAGTGCTTGGACCCAAGCTCGTTAGTCTTTATTGTTGAGCAACACTTAGCACTGGCCTACAGGATAGCAATTATCACACACTCTCCAGCCAAAAGTGGATAGCCCCTGTCAGCATTCGACACACATGCCAAAAATTTGCGGCAACACACGTGTCGGCACACACCTGACATTCATGCCCACACTCATATGAATGAGATTGGTAAATGTGTGAAATGATTGACGGACATTCGGTCACAAAAATTCACAGTCAAGGGGATTTTCGTGCAGGATATTTGCTCGCCTCGCTGTCGACAATGGCAAATGCTTATAAAATTGTCATGCATTTTTTTGAATATGCTCTCGTTATAAAGGCCGTTTTTTAATACAGTTATATCATTATGAGTTGTTGCATTTCATAGATGAATATTCTTTTAGGTTTTTTGTAACATTGCGGTTTTTACTTTTCAGGAAACTGTGTGGTGCAACGACCCCATCAAAGCGATCAACTCATTCGCGAGGGCAGCAGCAAGCGGGTAAGTTAAAAAATTAGTAATAATACATAAAAAATAAATCCTTTATATAAATGTGAGCTGCGATGTTTATGTAACTGCCACAAATCGTCAACAATTTGCAGCAATTAAAATGTTTTCATTTGAATAAAATGTGTCGCAAGCTCTTTCCAGCACGACCGCGACCTTCTATTTATGTTTTTTAACACAATGGAAGTTCAGAAAGTGTTATTAAAATGCATTTGCATAACTAAAAGTTCGCAAAGCGCCGGCAAACAAAATAAACGAAACAACTTTTTGTTGCAAACGCAAGCGTGCAGCACAACAAGTTCAGGCTGTGAGTGTGTGTTTGCCTGGCTTACGTGTCGGCACGTGCTCAACGAAAAGATATTACCACATTTAACAACGCCATGAAAATGGCAATGGTAACGCATACAAAACAATAACATGTACAACATCGGAAAACATAAAAGCATTTGCAAAAAAAATAACAAAAACAGGAATGCACGTTGGTCACTTTTCTTTTCACTTGGCCCTCTAAGTGCTGCCAACATCAATTTAATGGCAAGTGCAATGCAATTAGTTGCTAAGGGCAGCTGCAACGGGGCGTATGCGTTATCTAATGCCTGGCTAATTAAACCCATTGAGTTGGCAATGAATTTCTCCGATTTCAAAGGCGTCATCTTTACTTACAGATCTACTCGTTGGACGACGCTGAATGCAGCGAACTGTGCAGCTGTGGCGACTCGCTAACCCTCACCTGTCACGCCCTCTGCGTACCCTTTGCACCTTGTCGCACCGCTCTGGCGTTCTACAGTCACGCCTCGCCGGCTTATCAGGCGTTCCGCGGCCGTTGCCTCTGCTACTCGGGACGTTTCATCTGCATGAAGCCACCGCTTGGGGATTACATTCTGCCAGGTTAGTTTTCTGAAGCCCACTCTTGTCACCCACCCCATTCCATTATAGTTACAATTTAGTTGATGCGTCGTCACTTCCATTTGGCTTATGTATAAATTCCAGTTGTGTGTGTGTGTTATCTCTGTTTCCTGTTGAGCACTTTACGATTATCGCCCGCGACAGGCAATGCAGGGTGGCTGACAAGTATGCTTCATTTTCCAGCCACTGCGGGAGCCTTCGGAGGTAGCTTCATTTTTGCACGAGGCTAACAATGCCTTTAAGGAGCAGCTCATGGCTGCCGCTTTTCTTACGGCCAACCAGCTGCACTTTGTTGCCTCTTTGAGACGACGGACACATTGAAAGGTTGTCCAATGCTGCGTTATTATCTCTCTCCCTCCCTTCCCATCTCTCTCTTTCACTGGGGCAGCACTTACGTGCGCTTTGCATGCTCCAGTCGTGTAAATCATGTATAAAGCATTTTCTAAAGATTTATGGCATGATATATTTTGCAGGTGGCGTCTTCTTGCTGCTGGGCTACAGCGCCGCCGATGAGGCGCTGCTGCGACCTCACACCAATCTGGGGGTGCAGGATGCGGTGCGTGCCCTGCAACAATACGTGACAACCTACATCAACAATCAGGTAAGAGAGCACAACAGCGAGGTTCAAGCCCTTCATTCTGACTTATTCGCATATTAATTGCGTTTCGCCGTTGTTGTTTTTCTCCGCCGCAGACGCATTGCACATTGACGCTGTTCAACATGACCGAGGAGAACATCATCATAGCTGCGCGGCTGCCGCATGATGGCAAGCTAAAGGACATCGAGCTGTTGCGCCGTGAAAAGGTAGGTTCAAATTTTATTATTTTAATAAACAGTATAAGCTGGTATAAGCGAGCCCTTCATACACCCAACCTTACGCAATTATCGCTTATCTGGCCGCTTGCAGGACGAATGCACCGCGATACTGAAGACCATCAGTCATCATATCAACACCGAGCACAATGAACTACAATCCCACCGACTGTTGAGCATTTTCAAAATGTCCGAAGTCGATGTCGTCTGGCCGGAAAGCACGAGCGCGGCTCGCAGTGGCCAGACAGGAGCCAGCCGCCTGCTCTCCCTGCTGTTGCTCTCGTTGGCACTAACCGTCCGTGGCACGCTCCGTATGAGCAATGCGCGCAGCTGGCGAGCTGACGCAACATGACACGGCAGTTGAAGCAGCAGTGTTCACTAACTGCAAGTAGTTTAATTGTAAGCTGGTGTAAGGGGTGGGGTCAAATACGATACTACACTAGCAAATATATATATATATATAAATTTATATATATATATTTATAAGCATATAGAGAGTACTACATAGAAACAAGAATGGGTGTGTAAGAGATATCTAGATGTGTATGTAGCTACAGAAAAAACCTATACGAGCATAATACTCGAATATTCAGCAGCATTAAATGTGAGTTAGTCTAGAGTTAAGCGTCTACATATATGATATAAACAATTAGCAAAATGTGTTGTATACTTTTAGGGGCTAGCAGATATTTTTGGCTCTTTGTTGTTAACTTGAAGATGCAGTCTTACTTTTTGATACGTACTTACACGACATGTGAGGCATTAAGTAATTGATACACCATTCGACTAACGATAACGATTAACTTTACATACTCATAAAAGTGAAGGAAAGAAACTGCTGTCTAAATAATAATTATCTTAAAATAATGGAAAAATATCTACAATTTACTAAAGATAGCCGTACCCATAGCGTTTAAAGTAAATATATTTACATATGATAAAGAAAAACATCTGAAAGAAACGTGTATATAGACTTGGTAAGTGCTTAAGGTTTATATTTACATATATTCTTACATATGTATATGGAGACCATACACGTAGCTAGTGTTTTTTACGATTAAAGGCATATTAACTTACTTTCATCCAATATTCATTATCATCGCCACACCACACAGCCCAGCGTTAATTGCACTTTTTTTACAGTAAATGCCCCATTATTGTTTTATTGTTGACACAATTAAACACAAGAACAAAATGTGGCCAGCGGCAGCCTGCAGTCCAAATACCCTTACAGAAATCGCTACACCCTTAAAATATTTGATTTCATTCAAATGTTTTTTGACATAACATTTAAATTTCAATCAAAATATTTGTTAGCATTATTTTTTGAAGATTCTTATTGTCGCATCTTTATAAATCACTTTTTCGGCAGTCCTCCAAACTTCATGTTAGCATACGGGAGGCATCTTCTGCAAGGGTATACAAAATGAATGGCTTAAGCCATATTAAAATTTTATTATATTTTTTGAGGTGCGAACATCTACTGCACACATATTGCTTTCGCTTCTGATAATTAAATTTGCCCATGTGAAATATAATTGTTAATTTATTTCAAAGTTTTTCACACAATTTCCAGCTGTTCGAGGCGCGAATTATCAATTATATTTTGCATGGACGAGCACTTAAATTCTGGCGGTTTTCGGGCTTTCTTATTACAGATTTAATATGTTCTTTTGAGCTTTACTTTTCTTACTCTCGATTGAACTGTCTTCATTTTAAAAGGTTTCACATCATGCAGCCCCTGATTTGCTCTTCCCCAAAATGCTGTAAATAAATTGGGAATATATTACGTTTTATCAAATACTAACAGTACATATCAAAGTGAACACCTAAATATACACAGAATACCGTATTAACTAACCCTTTGTACATACCTCTATATACATATGTACATGCAAATATACACAACGATATACAAAAGTATGAAAAACAAACTAGCATCAACTATGGATAACAGAAAAATAAGAATAAAAAAGTAAAATACAAATATTACAATCTACCCAACAGCAGTAAAAAGACAGTAATTGTACATTGAATCAAACTTCAGTTGCACCTTAAATAAGGTATGTAAGAACTACTAGGCATTGTAAATATAGGAAAAAGGAAATACTTAAATTCTATGAATATTAATTGAGTGTTTTCGTTATGTGACACTCAGACTCCCAAACACACACCAACACACTTTAAGCCTAAGCTTGACCATTTGATAAAGATGTTAAGCAAACTTCGCACACACACACACACGAACACACGCATGTCTGATGAGTGTTAAGGTGTCAAGTGTAGAGTGTAAAGTGCGCTGAAGAAATGGTCACAATCATGAAAAAATGTCTTCCTTAATGCATATACATGACGATATGTGTTACATATTCATATTTATATATATATACATAGTACATGCTAACTTGATATACCTAAATATACTCGTATACCTATTATAATATACGTTATAACGCTATTGGTGCACCCTGGCCTACGCTTCAGTTAGTGAATACTAGTCAAAAGAAAAAGAGTTATGCCACCCAAAAATGGCTAATTCATATAATTACGATTATCGATTAACTTGCAAATTATACCACTGTTGACACTATTATAGCAAACATTAAATACCTAAAAGCAGCAAAAATAAACGAAAATGAATAAATACGTATACATAGTACTTTACGATACATATGAGAGAATTATATCCTCCAAGTAAATATACAAATATACCTAAATATATATACATGCATAAATATACCACTTATGTACTTAATTACATACACAACTTATGTTCGAGCATTGAGCATTGCAATGCACTTGAATAGTTCCCTAGGCCACCAAAATGCAAGCGACCTTTAATGGAGAGAACCTGCTTATAGAACAGCTTGTAGCTACTTAATATTAGACGAATTTAAAGAGAGATATTAATCCAAAAGTAAAAGCCGTTGTCAGACCGTTTTCGCATAAGTATTGTAAGTACCTGCAATCTAAATGGGAGACCATATATTATCCAAAATGAAAACCCCTCTTCGATTGTATAAGGACCTTTCCGGGAATACTTACGCAACTAATCTGCATTGCAGCATCTGATATCTGCATATATGTAAATCTAACCGCTCTAACCATTCGATTTTTGTTTATGTCCCTTTTATTTTGTCATTGTGCTCTCGGGGCAGCACAGCACGAGGCGCAGCTACAATGTAAAGTACCGTTAAAAAGACAAAAGAAAAGAAAAATGAAAAAGGAAAAGTCAAGAAAACTGCAACTAGATCTATACTGTTAAGGGAGAAACTACATAGAAAATGTAGCAGAAACCTATGTTAAATGATAGCAAAAAAAAATTAAAAAAAAAAAGATAAATAAAAATGGGGAAAATAACATAAAATATGCATGAGGAATATCAAATAAGTTGAGGAATTCAAGTTAAGCCTAGCGACAGCAAACTAAACGGAACACAATATAGAAAATAGAGAAATATGCTATGGTATGTACTTAAGTAAGAGATAGATGTATTACTATGTCGAGGGCTTTACATAAAACTATGTAAGCAAAAGTCCATGAAGCAACCAGCAGCTGCAACCAGGTAGACGAGGGTCGTGGCACATTTATAATGAATAATGAAAAAAAGCATTGTAAAAGCAACAAAATAAAAAAAAAGAAAGCAAAATAAATAAATAATAAAAAGGTATGGAACATAAAAATGCTGATTATGATTTGGACGATGATGCACAACTGTGCGCTGTCAAAGTAAGTACCAATAAAACGGGGTGCGGCAAAATGTGAACGGAAAACACTTCGAACTTCCTACAAATTAAGCAATTTACATCGAAACAACTGCAAATGCAGATTGTAATACCCTGTACGTTCTTTTTATTTATTAGTTGATTATGTTATACATTCCGCCAGCTGTGGATATCCACTCTATTGATATTTCCACCTTAGTTTTATAAAGTTGTCAGCTCCTTTTGCCGTGCACTTCATTATTGACCCCCAAAAAGCAATATAGCGATCAAAGCTGTGACACAATTGAGCCAAGCCAAAAGCGAACAATGGCCAAACAATGAAGAGCACGAAAATACAACAAAAATAAAAAAAAAAAAAGAGAACAATTGAAGCGGCATTTTGTTGAAAATAACCGCAAGAAAAGATACAACAGCAACACCAAAAGCAACAGCAGCCACAAACAACGGCAACAGAAAACACAAAATGTACACAATGCCTTCCAAAGCGCCAACTTGGCCAAGATGGAACAAAAGATGAGCCGAAGACAAAGGCAGTTGCTATGCTCAAGGCGAGCCTTAAGCTCAAGTGCCCCACTCAAGCAGCACACTCATACACACAACACAAACTCACACACACTTTGGGGCCAAAGCAAAGGGAAAGGTCAATCATTGGAATGCTGCCAGTTAATTCACAAACACACAAAAGACGCTAGGCCATCCACGGGTGGGGCCAGAGAAGTGGGCGAAGCAGAAAAACAGTAGCCAATTCGACCCTGAATGGCCTGGCACGCCCCATTTTGCCAGCTCCGCTGGGTGGCTGAGCTTGGCATTTATACTTCCACTTAATTAGGTAATAAATGATTGAAGAAATTATGTCTAGACGTGAGAACAATTCCGATGGAATGAAAGACGCAGGCAACCAGGCCAAGCGAAACAGCTAAAAGAACTTGACAAGCAGCCAATTCATTTGGCACGTGAGAGGCTAAAATGTTACAAATATGAAAACACACACACGCACATACGATGATAGAGCTCATTGCGCGCTTCTCCAGAATTTTCGGATCACAATGGGCAAAGGCAAAGTTAAATTTAAATCGCATTTTTAGTGTGTTGTTGGCAAATGCTTAGCAAATTATTCGATTGCCAATAAAAACTGTGAAAAATATAAACAAATTTGAGGGGTTACAGCGCCAACAATCCGCTCAGCACAATATGCCACTCGTTTATGTGGGAGGCCGTGTGTGTCTATGTGTATGTGTGAGTGAATGAGTGTGTGGTTTCTGTGGTACGTGAATGTCAAATTAATGAATCGCAATGAATACGGCGTGTATTTGTATTTTATTTTTCTCGCAGTTTATTATTGCGTCGATGTCGTTGGCATAGGCAGCGCTTTATGTCACAGCTATTTGTGTGTGTGTGTGTTTGTGTGTGCGTATTGTTGCTGTGCAAGTATTGAGGTTGAGGACGAGGCCGCGACGCACGCACATTTATCTGCCTGCCATGATTACGTGTTTGCCGTTTTTATCACTAAAACTGTTGCGCTTCTCTCTGCATGGGCTCACTGCGGCGTGCCTCTGCCACATGCCACATGCTACTTACCTTCACCCCCTACCCCTACCAAACACTCTCAATCTCCAGGGCAACGGTAATGGCAACTTTTGTCTGCTCGTCCGTTTGTCTGTCTATTTGCTTTGTTTGGTTTCTGTTGCTGCTGCTGCTACTGCTACTGCTCAGTGCTTTGTTCTGCTTGGAATTGCCTTTTATTTTCTGTTAATTGAAGTTGCTGCCATCACATTTTTCTTCTTTTTTCTACATACACACACACACACAATAGAAAGCGGCTTGTGTGTGTGAGCTTTTTTTTTGCTTTTATCGCCGCATCTACGTTTTGCCTGTTTTTGCAATTTTAATTAAAAACGTGTTTATAACAGCGCAAAATGCTGATGAGTGAGCAGAATAATTTATTTCAAATATACAATATAAAATGCCAGACTAATACAAATACAAACGTATAAGTGTGTGAGGCAATTAATGGCCATATGCGTGCCAAGTATTTGATGCTGTTTATTGGCTTAACTTTTTATAGCTTAACAAAAAAAATAAATCAGCTTGCAAAATGTTATTAATTGCAATTTCAACCTGGCAACCTGAAAGTATGCAGCACTTTTGGCTGGTTGTTGAGAATGGCGGGTGTATCCTGTCCCAGTGGGGCACATTTATCCATCAGAAATTCCTTTGCATAACGCTGGGAATCTATATTGCCATGCAACCACATTGGCACTATAAAATATGCGCTGCAGCACAAAGAATTCAATTCAATTGATATTCAAATGCGCATTGCGAACACGCCAAGGCGTCTGCATCGGCAGAGGCAACAGCTTCTGCATCGGCATTGGCATCCATTATTTGTCGATTTTACACATGGTAAAAGAAAAGCATAAAAATCAACGGGTGGTTAAGGAAAACATGCAGAGATCAAAAAGACGTGGCTCAGCTCCTGGGCATGTTAAGGTTAAGAATCGTAGAGCCTTCATTTCATTAGATGCAACTGTTGGCCAATAAACAGTGGGCCAGTGGGCTGATAGCTTGGCTCTGGCCACGCCCAAAAGTGTGAGCTGTGCAAAATTCAATTGAAACGAATATTACAACGCCATTTGCCAAGCTCAGCACCTTTGGCCAAAACACGACCCAGACATAGGCGAGTGCAACAAACAAAGCATCCAGGCAAGAGTTGGGATGCAGACGCCAGGAGCTAGGAGCCAAGAGCCAGCCATGCATCATTTGCATAGTCCCATGGGACAGGCTGACTACCTGAACAAAGCTAGGCAGGTCTCTGGACATATAGACAGTATAGACAGACACCCGTTCGATGCGCTCAAGTGTAGGAAGCGAAAAAAAAGCAACACAAAATAGATGGCAAACTAAGATGTGAGGGGGGCTTGGAAACCGGTAACAGCAACAAAAAAATGCTAAGGAGCCAAATACTTGAACATTTGCAAACGCGGCAAAGTAGCGAAAATTTGCAAATTGATTGCATTCCAGTGCCAAGAAGCCGCTGCAGCAGCATCGGCAGGAGGCCAACACCCTGGTGAGATATAAAATCTTCGAGTGCAAATTTTGCACATTCTTGCTGGCAACTTTGGGAATTTCTAAAAATATTCTCTATTGAACAATTGCCAAACGAAAGGCCTCCTCCTCTGTTTCATTTCAAAATTACAAACATATTAAATTTATGTCAAATGAGCCCTTGCTGCCCACCCTGCTTGCAAAAATATTATGCAAATCTCTAGCCCAATTAAAAGAGCGAGACGCAAGATAACTTTAAGTCAATTTACGATGTATGCCAGAGGGTTGTGAGGGGCATGTCAAATGATTTGAGCATGTTTTGTGTATCATTTGAGAGCTCATAAAAAATGCAGGCACTCTGTCGCATTTTGTTGACCATCACGCCGGAAAACAGATCTACAGCCGGAACAGCAGACAACCAACCGGACAAACGAGTTGGGTATGAGAAAAATGAGAGACATAAGGAGCCATGTTCGCCAGCAAGATGACACCTAGTGCAGAAACATGAACCCATGCCTAATAAATAATTCAGTGCGCAACAAGCGGACAACAAGCCTACTTTCGGTGGCCCACACCTTATCCATCCACCACTCTGGCCAGCTCTTCTTCATACACCAACCACTGACCAGCTCTGACAGCTGTGCGTCCAGTATGTCCTGTGTACGTCAATATTGAGAATAGATTGAAATCTATTCAGATGTGTCGGCACAAGTGTTGCCTATGAGCATTCAAGTGGGTCCTTGATCTGTGCCGTTCTGTTAAAGTATGTCCATCTGTCTGTACAACTGCTCGCCATATGCGGCTCATTTATTTTCCGGCGTGAGGCCAAGATTTCATGGTATTCAAAAGGTTTTCCGGCGGTGCCGAGCAAGTCTCTCTGCAGAATTTTGGTCTTATTTGCTGTTGTTGCCTAACACAACGAATAACAAAATGAAAAACAATGCAATAATCAAGCGACACGAGAATCTATAATAGCGACAAGAAAATGCTTTTAGCCAGCCTAAATTGATGAGCAAGACGAATCTGAATTGTTTTGTTGCGAAATCAAGTTGAAATGAATCCTTGTTAACGATTTCAATGTTAAACTTATTAATGTGCCTGCGAGAGTCCGACTGTTTGGCATTAATACACTGAATAAATTTTATATATATGCAGAAAGAAAATTATTTTGTTGCTTAATGCAGAAGTCGAGCAATGAGAAATGAGGCAGCAAAAAAATCATTTAGCATAATGATTAAAATAAATCATATTAAAAAGCATTTTAGGCACTAGGGAAAGCGAAGCGAGGGAGATGGAAGCAGGCAGCCAGCAGCCTGTTAGACATATGCAATAGCTGGTATTACGTATACGCCACGTAGTCGACCACGTTGAGCACAAACAAATGCAAACAGACAAACAAAAATGATTTATAAATTGGCACGACGTGCATAAAATGCTGAGCACAAAAAATTTCCACTGCATACGTAATGAGGCTGGAGAACCAACACACATAAGCCCAAAACGCAGACCCAGACCCAGACCCAAGCCCAAACCCTAACGCTATAGATGGCGGCTGGCTGGCTGGACGATGACTTCCGAATCATGTGAGTGCGCAAGAAGTGGCATTTAAATGCGCGCATTTATTCACTTATAAATGCTACAAATAAAAATATGCTAAGGGAATATGCTAAAGAGCCAGACCAGCGTGGCAGCGACCGAGGCAGAGCCAGATCCCGAAAAATAAGGCCAAGTATGGCCCAAAACTTTTCTAGAAATAAAGTGTGAGTGTGCATGTGTGTATTGTGTGTGGCTCTGCATATACTTTAAATCTCATTTGGCCTGCAGCGGCTCAGGAATTTTGAAA